TCGAAATTTCGAGGCACTAAAAAGTTTGCTTCGCTGAGTTAAAGCAATATTATGCGGTGATGGCAATATTTTATAATTGGCCGGGGTCACTGCATAATACTGACTCTTCCTAGTTGCTATATGGAAACACATTTTACAAAATAACTTACATTGTGTAATGTTCAGAATAAGTTGAGAATACTTTTTAGTAAGTAGGCATTCAGGTAGTTCCCGAAAGAACTGCTTCAGCAAATCAGCTACATCATAGGGTTGCCAGCTGTCAAAATCGTTCCATTCTGACAAAGGAAGAAGGGAATTTTAGAAGATTTCAATTAACATTAACACATTATAAAAACATGGAATGAATAGATGATTGGAATGAGGGATAAAAATAGAAAATAACGAGATATAATGCAATGAACCTATTCCTGATGTATGGAAAATCACTTGTCATCTTGAATATTTACACTTTACTATTATGATAACCAAGTCCAAAATTAGTTTAGACTGCGATATTAATGTAACATTTGGGAATGCACCCAGTTACCGATTCTAGGGATAAATTGTAAGCTTTTTTAAGAAAGTACAAATAACAAACTCAGTAGAAAACCATAGTCCTGAGACTTTCAGTGGCTATACATTTTATAATTCTTTTCCAGGTGATTTACAGTGAAGATGATGGCACCAGCTTAAAATTACGTTCAAGTTACCTAAGCTGACTAAAGTCGCCCTAGTAAAAATTAAATGAATGCAGGGAAACTGAAATCCGCAATCGTCTTCTCAAGAGGACGAATTAAGAATATCTTTATTAGACTTCTTCACACTAAATTAAGGTATTCACAATAATATTGATTGTGACATCTATGCATCAAGTTAGGGGCCTGCTAGTTAAGTATATATATATATATATATATATATATTAGCAAACTATAAACCACCTCGCCCCTCTAGCGATTTTGACTTGAGCGCCCCTAGGTAGAGACATTTGCAAACGCATTTGATCTGTGAAGGAATATCAAGTCGGCAGAGGAGCTAACAATAGATGCATGCAAAGATTCTGAAGCGATCTCAGATGAAAGCAAATGTAATACAAAGGTCAATGATCCTGGGTCTATTAGCGGTGAAAGTACCCAAAAGTAGATAAGATCATCCAAGTTCAGTGTGGTTCTGATCTTACCTATATTACTTTCGATCTCCTCTCGCAGTGCCAGGGTTCTGGACTTCCCTCCTGGTCGGCGAAATATTCCATGTGTCATCCCACCAACACGATGAAGGTAGTTAAATATATTGCAAATGGCTGGTGGCAACGGGAAACCAAAGCGGCGTTGCCAATAGGGTAAAGACTGTCCAAAAACAGCACCGGGACGTCGAAGTACGACTGAAAGAGGATCAGGAAATGTGGAATATTGGACGGGCAGGCAAAAAGGAAGAAGATCGATGCCAGTTTTAAGTTCTGTGTCGGCGTTTGTGTAGTTGTCCTTGCCACAATTGTCGTAATCATCCAGGGAAGAAGAACTCAAAGTGAAATCAATTGGCAGTTTAGGCAAGGCCTGGGCTTCTAAGCAGACAGTGCCAGCAGGATGTGCCTCAGATGGGCTCGATGGAAGACTTTTTGAGAGCACTACAGTCCCATTGCCTTTCGGCACATACCAATCGCTTGGAGATGGCTCCATATGTCGAGAACGTAAAATTCGCCTAAAAGACAAGGACGATAAAACTAAAAAATTGAGACATTCATACAGGAGCCTTAGGGAACTTCAAATTAAAGGATAGAGATGGGAAAGTGTTGAGAGTACAACAGTGCTCATGCGCTTGGCCCTTCAAACCATTCCAGACAGACCAAATGATTCTTTCAGTTTGGGCTGAAGCTGTACATCCAGGCCTTTGTTAGTATTTTTGGTACAATAAAAGCGAAGCATCGAATCAATTGTAGGAATGATTTGGCCTCTATTTTAACTATTGTCTTCCACCGCTATATATATTTGAACTGCCCTCGTTTTCGCAACTTGGTCGTGTTGGCGACCGTCAGCCTTTACCATAGTAGATACGAAGAAAAACTGGGTTTCAATGAATCTCCTGAGATAACATTGTTAGAGGGACCTTCATTTCG